CTTTTCAAGTATCAGCCCAGAAACTAAGCTGAGAGTCATCCTAGCATGTTTACTAGTACGAACCACCACACCACATGTATGTTCATTGTTTAAAGTTCTTATGTAAAAGAACCTATTTGTTTTTTCAACTGAAGTATGTACACGCTACATACATCCCTTTGATTCCTTGTATGCACATTCTGTCGTAACCCTCAGCTTGTCATTTTTAACATACGTAAACTGAAAATCAATCTCAATAGCATACTTGCATAAAACAGTACAGAACTAAACCACACCACCCTCAAACTTTTGTCCAACACTCGTAATATTATTTCGCTAACCAGCTGACAATAACACATTTTCTTGGTGATAACAAAACTTAGAGAGTGAATTTCTTTCAATATCCACCAGCCTATCACATTCACCATGCACAACATCTACCCAATTAGACCTCACTTCATCCTCTTGATCAGAAGTACTACATCTAATAACTAAAACATCAACTATATCAACACCACATGCACAAACAACCCTCAACTTATTCAAAAAATCAATATTATTTCCAACCACACAATTCAGATGGCCGACGATAGAATATGAAATACACATCGTCTCAGGTTTCAAATTCTTTCATGTTTTACACAAAAATGCCAGTCAATTCTGCAAAATTTAATTCACATGAAACATTAATGACAATAATATCATTCCCATATTTGCATAGTAACAACACTGCACTGTCCAGCGAAACTGAAAGAAAAAATAAGAAAAATAATTTATTCAATATAAAAACACTTCACAAGAACAACATAAAAGTCCATAGAAATTTATAATAATTATAATTTTCTCTGGATTATAATAACAAGCTTATAATTTTCTCTGGACTCAAATAAAAGTCCAAAGACATTTACAAACTTATATTTACCTTCAAGATAACAAAAACAAAATCACAGAAAACTTAATGAATCCAGAGAGAATCACAAAGAAATTTACTGCTAACTATTAAACATAATCATAAACAAAAATCACACAGAAGATCTGTTATGAAATTATAAGCTTCTATGTGATTTTCACTAAATTACGAACTTACAATTTTCTCTGTGTGATTGTGCAATATTACACTTATATCAAAATCTAGAGAAATTTACAAACTTATATACACCTTTAAGATAACAAAAAACACTTACTGTCCATCTAAACTAAAAGAAAAAACACAAAAAATAACTTTTGCTCGGAGAAACAAAAACTTATATTCACTTTGAACTACAAACTTATAATTTTCTCTGAATTACAAATAAAAGTTCAGAGAAATTTAAGAACTTATATTCACTTTCAAGATCACAAAAACAAAAACAAAAACACATTAACATCAAATTAACAAAAATGCTAACTATTCTACACAAATATAGAGAAACTCATAGAGAAGCTCTGTTATGCTCACAAAACATTCAATTGAGAAAAAAAAATAAATAAAAAATAACAAACTTATAGTAACATGTCCATAACAAATTACAATTTTCTTTGTGATTTTTTCTAGACTACAAATTTATAATTTTCTCTATAATCTTCACTAAACTACAAACTTACAATTTCTTTGAGATTCTATCTGCATTAGAAACTTATAATAATATGTCCATATGAACTTATAATTTTCTTTGTGATTTTCGTTGGATTATAATAACAAACTTACAATTTTCTCTAGATTATACCAACAAAATTGTAGAAAAACATAAAAGAAAACTTAGAGAACAAAAACTGATAATAAATTTACACTTATCTCTAGTTTAAAGAAATTTCTCCAGTTTGAAAAAATAGAGAACAAAACTTATCATTGATAAGCATGTTGATGAAAAACAGAGTACAAAAAATGAACTCCAAAAATCAAAATCAACTCTATCAAGTTGGCCTCTTTCTAAAATTGATCAATAACGGAGAATGAAAAATCAACTCCAAAAATCATAAACAACTTCACTGAGCTAGTCTCTCTTTTAAATTGATCAAAATTGAAAACAAAAACCTAATACAAAAATACACTCGAAAAACTAATATGAAATCAGAATCCTTATATAAAATTCAAAACAAAAATCGAAATTCATGTGGAATCTCCATCGAAAATATACTTGATTCAACTCTACTGAAAAATCTACACAATCAACATGCTGTAACACCTACACGATCATAACAATTTGTATTGTCAAGTCCACTGCAACACTTGTGAAATCCTTACGAAATCTCCACAGTTTCCAAAATCTTCACCGTGAAGTCAGCAATAGAATATTCAGTTTGTCAAAATCCAAACAAACTTATGTTATAAAGAAAGGTAAATTAGATATTTTATAACGTAAAATAAGGTTAAGGGACTTTAGCCATCAAAAAAATTTATTGTGGATCTCTTCTCCTATCAAAAGTTGGATAGGGATCTTATGCTAATTTTTTCTAAAAAAATATGTTCAGCTAAAAAAAATGAATTATTTAATTTTAAAAAACTAATTTTTTTAGATCACCTGAATGAATTTAAGGAATAAAATAATCATATGATAATTTTAGATCAGTATAGAGAGGGAAGAAAAACAAAAAAACAAACCGAGTCTAAAAACAAATAAATATAAATATTTTTGCTATGTTAAAACCAACCTAACCTAAAAATAAGACGAATTTTAAAGGTAAGATAAATGGGCTACTGCGTGAATCGAACCCACCACCTCTCACGCCCAAAACAAGAATCATATTAGTAGACTAAACAACCTACCTTGTATGACCCGTCAAACTATCTCTCCTTGTAAATTTGGAGCAATTTTAGTTCGGTTTGGAAAGAGTTATTTTGGATTTTTTTTTGATTATTTTAGCCACAAATGATAAAATAAATTATTTTAATCATAAAAAATAAAATATCACATTTAATTCATAATCATCATACTATTCTCTCACAAAAAAAATTAAAAAAATTAAAAAATTATTTCCAAAGCAAATTTTTTAACCCATGTTAAAAATAGTCAAAAAAATAAAAAAATCAACTTCGAAAATATACTTGATTCAACTCTACTGAAAAATCTACACAATCAACATACTGTAACACCTACACGATCATAGCAATCTGTATTGTCAAGTCCACTGCAACACTTGTGAAATCCCTACGAAATCTCCACTGCGAAGTCAGTTTCCAAAATCTTCACCGTGAAGTCAGCAATAAAATATTCAGTTTGCCAAAATCCAAACAAACTTATGTTATACAGAAAGGTAAATTAGGTATTTTATAACGTAAAATAAGGTTAAGGGACCTTAGCCATAAAAAAAATTATTGTGGATCTCTTCTCCTATTAAAAGTTGGATAGGGATCTTATACTAATTTTTTCTAAAAAAATATGTTCAGCTAAAAAAAATGAATTATTTAATTTTAAAAAACTAATTTTTTTAGATCACCTGAATGAATTTAAGGAATAAAATAATCATATGATAATTTTAGATCAGTATAGAGAGGGAAGAAAAACAAAAAAACAAACCGAGTCTAAAAACAAATAAATGTAGATATTTTTTCTATGTTAAAACCAACATAACCTAAAAATAAGACGAATTTTAAAGGTAAGATAAATGGGCTATTGCGTGAATCCAACCCACCACCTCTCACGCCCAAAACAAGAATCATATTAGTAGACTAAACAACCTACCTTGTATGACCCGTCAAACTATCTCTCCTAGTAAATTTGGAGCAATTTTAGTTCGGTTTGGAAAGAGTTACTTTGGATTTTTTTTTTGATTATTTTAGTCACAAATGATAAAATAAATTATTTTAATAATAAAAAACAAAATATCACATTTAATTTATAATCATCATACTCTTCTCTCACAAAAAAAATTTAAAAAGTCAAAAAGTTATTCCCAATGCAAACTTTTTAACCCATGTTAAAAATAGTCAAAAAAATTAAAAAGTCAACTCACTTCTCAAACGACACCAAAGTATACATAGGGCTTTTTTTAAAAAAAAGATGATTACAAATTAAATTTTAATTTTTAACTAATTTTGAATCACTTATCTCTTAATTTTGGGTAAATTACATTTACCTCCCCTGAGATTTCTGACAAATAACCTCCCATGTGGTTTGAATAATTACAGTAACCTCCCCTACTTTACCTGACAATGTCAAGATTCCCCCAAACCGTCAATTTTGCACAAACAACGTTACTTTCCTATTCAAAATGACCATATTACCCTTTTATTTAAGCGTGAAAAGATAAAAATACCCTTGATTGTTAACCATCTCTCCACATATTCAACTTTTTTTTTTTTAAAATTTGTTTTTTGTTTTTGTTCTCTCTCGTCAGATCAAAACGAGAGAGAAGCTCCTCCTCGCCGGCGCCATTGGGGCATCTTCTTTCTCTTCTCCTTTCAGTCGTCTGTTATATATATATATATATCACACACACATATATATATACATAAATATCTTACATATATATACCTTTATGTATTTTTATATATATATATATGTTTGATTAAATAATAATAAATAAAAAAACAACAGAGAATTGAATCAATATATATATATATATATATATCAAACATAAAACAGAGAATTGAATCAATATATATCTCACACGGTTTGGGACAGTTGGTTGCAATATGGGTTTCGATCAGAAAAAAGAAGAAGAGGAGGAGTAGGAGAAAGAGGAGGACAGAAAGGGGGTGAGTTGTTTAACAGATTTGTGTGGTGGGTTTGGTCATTTATGTAATATATATATATATGTTTGATTGAATATAAAAAAATAAAAAATAAAAAAAAACAGAGAATTGAATGGGTTGCTGCAATGGTGGGTTCTTACATATATATACCTCAACATTTATGTATATTTTAATCTCATATATATACCTTACATATAATCTCATATATATACCATTTATGTAATGGATTACATATATATTTTAATCTCACAAAAAAAAGAAAAAGAAAAAAAGAAAGGGGGTGATTTCTTACATATTTATACCTTTATGTATATTTCTGATTTTGTGGGAGGTGCTGCAATGGTAAATGGGTTGCTGCAATGGTGCTGCAGGAGTAGAAGGTAAATTAGAAGGGAGTGAAGCTGTAGAACTTGGATGGATTAGAAGGTAATGAAGGTATTTTTGACATTTCATAATTTATAATGAGTGACATCAGCACTCTCTGTTAGATCTTTTAACGGCCGTCATGGTTTGGGGGAATCTTGACATTGTCAAGTAAAGTAGGGGAGGTTACTGTAATTATTCAAACCACAGGAGAGGTCCCTGTATTTGTCAGAAACCTCAGGGGAGGTAAATGTAATTTACCCCTTAATTTTTATTACTTTTTATATTTTTTAACAAAATAATCACACACAAAAAAAGGACAAATTACCAACAACTCCTCGAAATTTGATTAAAATACAAATTATTCTTGAGGTTTGAGAAATTACATCTCACTCTTAAAATTTATATTTACATAATAAATTATCTCTTAAAATTTATACTTACATAATAAATCAGGAAGTAATTTATAATTTTTTTAAATTGCAAGAGAATTATATTTTAGTCAAATCTCGAAATGGGTTGATAATTTGTCAAAAAAATAAAAATAAAAATAAAAAATTAACCACCTTTCTAAAAAACCAATAAGCTCAAGTGGGTAGGGACTAGAGAGTCCAGTGCAGACCACAAGGGGAATAATCGGCAATGGCGGTGCTAATCTCATCATCGTCGCGTTCTTCTCATCTGATTCTCCACCGTTTCCTCCAACCACCGCCACCACCTCCCTCCTCCTATCTTCTTCCCTCTTCAAACCCATCACCGCCATTCGCCGCCACACGCCGCCGCAGCTTCTCACTACCTCCTTCACTTCTCTCCCGCCCTCTCTTTCTCTCTCACCCCATCAACCACCTCTTCTCTCCCCTCCTCACTCTCTCTCTACCTCCCAACCAACCCTCGAACCCAAAATCGAAGACCAACTCGATGATAATGATGATGATGACGACGATGGTGAATTTGAGATTGGCAAAGGGGATTTTGAATCGGAAGAAGAAGAAGAAGAGATTGTTGGGGACGTAGAAGAGAGGGCTTTGAATCCTTCGCCTTTGAAGTTGCCGAGTCTTAGTGTGAAGGAAAAGAAAGAGCTGACTTCGTATGCTCACGGCCTCGGGAGGAAGCTCAAAACTCAACAGGTGGGGAAGTCGGGTGTGACTGATTCTGTTGCCACGGCTCTGATTGAAACCCTAGAGGCCAATGAGCTTCTCAAGGTATAATCAACACAACGCTCAAATTGAGGTTTAGGGTTTGGGGTTTTGTTGTGATTCTTTCAATTCAAATTGGTATAGTGCACTATGATTTGATTTAGTTGATTTCCAGTGTGTAATTTTGGGTCTTTTGGTTTTGTTGTTTGGAATTCCAACACAGGGTTCAATTCCAACTCTGCTTCTTGATTTCTTCTCGAAATTTCAATTTAACTTCTTTAGATTCCAATTCTAGGGAATGTATTAGACTATATCTGCATTGTTTTTGTTTTTAATTTTTGGGATTATGTAGAATTCAGATTATGTCCGACTGAGGTGACGACAATCATGACCTTATTCTTAATTCCTAGACATGATTAATGGTGTTGGATTATGAGAATTAGGTCTTTTGATTGTTGGTTACAAAGTTTTAGGTTGATGGTAAACAAAATGTTGGAAAATTTTGTAAGGTGGAAAATGAAAATGAAGACAACTTTTGATGAATGGATTGCATGCAATGAATGTATTTATGAGAAGTGAAAGGTAGTGCCAATTGAGTATAAGAATTGGGAAAATTGCATGAGATGGGTAGATAATGCATGTAAGAAAGGCAATGCATTGTCAAATTGTGTTTTGTTTTTATTTTTCAATTGTTAATTGTATGGGATTTTGATTTGCTTTGCTTTTGTGGGAGGTCACAAGCATGTATTTGCATAAACAATTAACTGAACATGTAAGGTTTGGTTGGCAGTTTGGCCTACTTATCTAGAAATTTGCACATGGTCTTATTTTTACACTTCACCCGCGTTTTTGAAGAACCTTTATTGACAGTGCGCGTGTTTATTCAATTGGCGAAGAAAATGAATTTACTCTCTCTCTCTCTCTCTATATATATATATATATATGCTCTTGTGTGTGTGTTCTCGGGGAGTTGATGCTTTCGGTGCAGATCATTTCATTTTTTCGTTTTCTTTTTTTTCCATTTTGTTGCAAGGATGAGTTTTGAGTTTACTTTCTTCTTGATGTTTACTTAGGACTCGAATTGTTGTGGATAGTTCTAATTGTGAAAACATGTGAGCAGCTTAAAATACACAACTCCTGTCCAGGGGAGTTAGATGATGTGGTGAAGCGATTACAGCAATCAACTGGGTCCGTGGTAGTTGGTCAGATTGGCCGGACCGTGATTCTGTACAGGCCCAGCCTGACCAAATTGAAGGCAGAGGAGAAAAAGAAACAGGCTCAGAGAGTTTTCCGGAGAAAACAGCAGGCATTCAAATCCTCATTTGAGGTATATTTTCCTCATCTACTAGTTTTATTGTCTAGAATACCTATCATAATTGCATTTAGTTCTTGAACATGCTTGTAAACTGTTACTGATCTTATCGTCTTTTTGTGTAAAATGCAGAATAAAGGACAACTATCAAGGCTATCTGGTCATGGTCGCCGGGGAAGTAGCAGATTCTCAAGCTCCCCCTGATATTTGGCATGTCTTACTCCACTGAAAAATGACTATTATCTGAAAAGTTTGTGAATGAGGATACCCATTTGATGTCTCTGCAGCGAAGCTCAATGTCGATGCTCCAAAAACTTAAAAGATGAAGCGGTTGGGAAGAATTACAAATGTTGTTGAAGCTAGAGATTGTAACTGTGTTTGACAGAAGCTGCCTTCAAGAAATAACTGCATTTTGATTATGCTTTTTATTTTTTGGGTGCTTCTGTATGTAGCAGAAATCAGGGAAGCAATTGGCAGGGATGGACAGTTGCCCCTAAAATTTTGAATACTTCTCTTATTATTAATAATATTAATTAAAATTATTTTCAAATTATATCAGTTTGCTCTTAAGATTTATTTTTGTTTTCCCGAAAAATATTTGTGGCATCATAGGTCTTACTGGACTGATTTTTTAGTTACATATATATAGGCCTCTTTTGTAACGTAGTTTTTAGCCTTTTTTTTTTTTAAAGTTTGTAGTAAAAGTGTGTTTGGTAACGTTTACGTTTTCAGTTTATATTTACAAAAATTTTATAAATTAGTTTTTGTTTATTTTTAGAAAAATATAAACTATAAACACGTTTGGTAATTGACAAAATGTTTTAAAAATTTTAAAAATATAAAAAAGAGTGAGAAATGACAAGTGGCGGTGGAAGACGGTGGTGGAAAGTGGTGACGGTGGATGGTGAGTAGCGGGTGGTGGTGGATGGTGGCGGGTGGTAGATGGTAGTGGCAGGTGGGTGGCAGATGGCGGGTGGGTGGTGGTGGCAGGTAGGTGGCGGGTGGTAGTGACGGGCGGTGGATGGTAGTGGTGGGTGGTGGGTGGTGGGGTGGTAGTGGTGGTTGGTGGGTGGTGACGATGGCGGGTAGTGGGTGGTAGCGAGTGGTGGTGGTGGTGGTAGTTGTGGGTGGATGGGTGATGGTGGCGGGTGGTGGGTGGTAGCGGCAGGTGGGTGGTGGTGACGGATGGGTGGTGGGTGATGGTGCCACTACTGTTTACTGATTGATGGCCATCATTACTGTTCGGTCTTTCAAGACCTACTATTTACTGTACTGTTATGCTAATGGATGTACCACATATGACTGTACTGACTGAACGACTGAAATACTGACTTAATGAACGTGGGTGGTGAGTGGTGGTGGTAAGTAGGTGGCGGGTGGTGGTAGCGGGTGGTGGATGGGGGTGGCGGGTGGATGGTAGGTAGGTGGTGGGCGGCGACAGCGGCGGCGAGGGGTGGGTGGTGGTGGCGAGTGGGTGGGGGGGGTGATGGTGGCGAGTGGGTGATAGGTGGGTGGTGAGTGGTGGTGGCAGGTGGTTGTAGAGGGTGGGTGGTGGTGGCGGAGGCGGAAGATGATGGTGGAAAATTGTGGCGAGTGGTGGCTAGTGTTGGTTGGTAAAAAAAAAAAAACACTCAAAACTCCAAACGGAAACACATTTTTTGTGTTTTTATTTTTTTGTCAAATTTATAAACTGAGACCACTGATTTATAAATTAAAAATTTTACCAAACAAATTTTTATTTGAGTTTTTAAAATTTTTGTAAATATAAATAAAAAATTAAAAACGCGAGTATTATCAAACGACGCTTAAAAGCTAGTTTATTTATTTTTTATTATTATTTTTTTTGTATTTAAGGAGATTTTGTAATTAGGGGTGTGAATTTTGGTCATGGTCCAACAACCGCCCTGTGTCGGGTCCAAAGCCCATGGTGGGTTGGGCCTGGTTTTTGGAAACGGGCTGGCTTAATTTGATTTTGATCTGGGATGGGCGCGATTCAAGGGAGAATGGGCTGGGCTGAAATTATACTCACTGAAAGGGTGGCATACACAAGCCCATTATGTTATACCTCATTAAAAAATCAAAAATTTGAAAATTTTCTTAGATTTTGATGATTTTCAGTATACCAAACAATTAAGAGTCCATCAGGTGAAATTGGAAAGTTTTGTTGCACATTCAGGCTTCTTCAATTGAAAGTATAGTTGCAAAAAATAATCACTATGTTTGGTTTTGGTTTTCAAAAAAGAGTTCTAAAAAAAAATCTACTTTTTTATTTATATTAAAAAAATGTGTTTCATGATCTTATATTTATTTTTATATCTAAATTTTATGGGCATGACAAGATTTGTAAGTGGTAAATAATCCAAAAAAATTAGTGGAGGGGAATTGTTCATTTTTCGTATGAAATCAAGAGGATCCAAATCACTATTGTTTGGACGGTGATTGTGAATGGCAAATAAAGACATCGGTAGATTCCATCACAGCACAGCGCGATCAAAAGCCATAACTAAGACTTGTTTTTGAGAAATTGATTAAAAATTAAATTTTTTTTTTCTTGAAAAATGTATAAAATAGTAAAGAATTAATGTGACTCAAAATAGATTAGAAAGTCAAAAAATTTTTTTTTACTATCTTCTCAAAAGAGGCTTAAATAAATTATACAAAAAATGCCTTCATGATTGCCTAGGCTTGGATTGTGACAGGCAAAAGACGTTCTGAGTAGTGATGTATAATTAAAAATTTTATACAAAATTTATATAATATATACCTTTCATTTTTAAATATAATACTAAATGCTAATTGAACTTGTGACATTGTGTTAAGACCTTGGGGTTTAAGCCCCAAGGTCACAAGTTCAATTCTCTCTTGGGTCAATCTCTTGGGCGAAGCACTGTTGGTTAGGAGGTTGGACCTCAAGGATGTCTAATCAGCTACTTGGTGTGGGTTTAATATTCTCCCGCTGTGCGAGTCCTGACTTAATTACTCGGAACGGACAATAAGCCCTCCTTGGGAGGTCGGGACAAGCTTCCAGGTTATAGTCTCTTACTCGGGTTTAATGCTCCCCGCTGTGCGAGTCCTACTCGGGTTTAATACTCTCCCGCTGTGCGAGTCCTGACTTAATTGCCTTGGGAGGTCGGGACAAGTTTTCAGGTTACAGTCTCTTACTCGGAACGGACAATAAGCTTGCCTTGGGAGGTCGAGACAAGCTTCCAGGTTATAGTCTCTTACTCGGGTTTAATGCTCCCCCGCTGTGCGAGTCCTACTCAGGTTTAATGCTCCCCCGCTGTGCGAGTCCTGACTTAATCGAAGCTTGCCTTGGGAGGTTGGGACAAGCTTCCAGGTTTTAGTCTCTTACTCGGAACGGACAATAGGACACCTCGGTGATCTCCTCATGGGGCGCTGCCTTGGATCTACGGGAGGGTGGGAGGATTTCCCTGTAACCAAAAAAAAAGAAAAAAAAGATGAGTCTATTTTATGTTAAAAAGTAAGACTTTTTTAGTTTTTCTTCATCAAAATCTAATAAATGGAGAATATAAAAATAAGAAAAAAAAGAGAAGTGGATAAAATAATTTTGAATGCGTTGAGGTACAAGTTTTCTTTTGTACAAAATTAATGCATAGATTACTTGTACTTTCATGAGTTTTTTTTTTTGGGGGGGGAATCATTTTGTACTTTTTTGATATTTTCCCAAAAATAAACCCCACTTGCAAAATTTAATAAACAACTAAAAAAAGCTACTACAAAAACATTTGTCAAACACACATTATTTTAACAACCTTTTAACAATAAAATTTTTAAATAAAAAAAAATACTACGAAAACATTTGCCAAACCCCATCTCAGTTTAGGTTTTTGTTAGACATTAACTTTTTTCTTTCTTTCTTTTTTAAATTTGATTTTCTTCTTCTTTAAGGATTCTAGCCTAAAAGCCCTTAAAAATTAAAAAAACAAAGTTGGATTGGATTAAAAGTTAAAATAAAAATTAACTAAAGAAAAACTTTTAAAAAAAGGTTAAGAAAAGCAATTATTGTTATTTGTGCACTGTTTCTTTTTCAAAATTTTATTTACTTTTTAATCCAGAAGCCTCTAAAAAAAATCAACCATAAAAAATAGACAAGACGAAATGAGAAGATAAACAAAAATAAATAAAGAAATTACAAAAAATAAAACATATGGAGGTCATGAAAGGCGGAATGAGATTGAAAGCTCCATCTATTGCTTGCCATTCCCACATGAGTGAGGCCATGAGCCTAGAAAACTCTCAAAGCTATGTCTTTTTGTCACTCTCTTCTGTTCACCATAAAAAATCCATGCAATAAGACAAGTAAAATAAGTAATTAAAAAAATATGGGAAACACAATATTGGTCCATTAGCAAACAAAAATGAGCACCCAAAACCCCCCCCACACACACAAAAATAAAAAAATAAAAAATAAAATATTCAAGAAAAATATAATATGCTGGTCGAGTGAGGAATGCTAGCCTTCAAAAACTCTAACTCTCCTTCTTAATGTGTTTTTAATTACATGATTAGGTAAATTAATATATAATTGTGCAAGTAAAATTATGTTGGCACAAAAAGAAGGTTCAAGGTGGTGATAATGTAGTGGTATTGATAAGTGTAATTCGAAACATGTTTTTCACATTTTAAAAATGTAAAATGTTTTATACTCAAATAATAAGGTTTTTTTTTTAATTATAATAAAAAATATTTTTATTGACTTTTGTTTTCTGTTATACTAAATGTAAAAAAAAATACATGAATGTCATTAACTGTTATAATGCTATGTTTGATTCGTGAATTTATAAAGAGTAAAGAAAAAAGGTGTGTGGAACATAGGTAAAATATAGTTATATTTTATTCACAATTCACTTATATTTCATTTTTTCTTTTATGAATTACTTTCCAAATTCATAAACTAAACACAGAATAAGAATATCAATTAATAAAATTTAAAATAATTGATAGGAGACACATTTAGTCAGTATTTCAAGGCTAATTCAACACTGTCCAATATTACATGAACGACTTTGAATAACTCTTAACATCAATGGTGACTGTGATGTTGCTTAGAATAAATAAAATTTCCTAGAAAAACATAAAAATAAATAAATAAAACAAAACAAAATAAAAATAAATAAATAAAGCTGCAGAGTTGCAATATGGAATAAGAGTGAAGGTTGAGGAGTCTAATTTTGAAATTTTAAAGAGAGTTTATTGATGTGATAAGGAGTGAAGTCCACATGTAATGTACGTGTGTGTCTATATTTTTGTTTTTGTTTTTTCTCTTACTATATCACTTAAGTTTTTTTTTTTTTTTAATTTTAAAATTATAACTCTTTATTATTATTGCGGGGAATAAAACTTAAAATGATGACAAATGAAAAGGGATTGGTGGGGGCATCAACATGGTTTTCCTGCAAATATAACATAATAATGGGTTGTTTTGGGAAGATGGTAAAAAGTGATTTTTTGGCTTTTAACCAAGCTTTTGGTTTTTTTAGACAAATGACTTGGGAAATTGGTAAAAAATGACTTTTGACTTTTTTGATTAATATTTGTTTATGATGTCAAATCATAATAAAATGACCAAACTACCCCCATTTATTTAAAATATTTACAACTTCACCTATGTAATATATTTTGACCCATGAGGGGTAAAATTGTAATTTCACCGTTGGCTAAAAACCAACTTTCCAAATGAAAAAAAAAACTAAAAAAGCCAACTTTTAACTTTTGCTACTAACCAAAAAAAGTGACTAAAAACTATGTTGCCAAAATAAGCCAATATAATAGTAGTAGTCCTAAATCAAAAAAACAATAAATAAATTAAAAGTAGTAGTTAGTCCAAGTTACAAGGCATTGTTTGCATCGTCCAAATATAGATTTTAAATTTAAATATTGGTGGTGCTACATATATTAATTAATGTATTAATTAGTATACTAACATTAGTTATGATATTATTATTGATTCCATTTATTAATCACATTACAAATATCAAAAATCTCTTAAATTATGTCACATCATCAATTACTATATCAATTGATACATATAGCATTATTCTTTAAATATAAATATAAATATAAACAATATTTAATATTTGTAATATTTTTCTTATGTTTTTATTTTTTTCTTCAAATTTAATTACTATATCAATTGATACATATAGCATTATTCTTTAAATATAAATATAAATATAAACAATATTTAATATTTGTAATATTTTCTTATGTTTTTATTTTTTTTCTTCAAATTTATCATTATACAAACAACATTTTTAGACAAAATCATGCGCTTCTTTGATTTTAATAAATAAAAAAAACAAAAAAAAAAAACCAAAACAATCATCATTATAGTTAATAATTTGAAAAAAATATAATTATTATATTCAAATAAAAAATCGTCTATATGCAGTGCTTTTCCTTAGTCTTTTTTGGGTTCTGCATTGAAGTCTTTTTTGGGTGCTCTTGCATATATATATATTTCTTGTCTGCAACAGTCAAAAGCGAAAAACTTGTTTGGAGAAGACTAATCATTGAAAACAACTTTTTTAAAGAAATTTGTGAGAAGACAATTTTACCTTCAAATTTTTTGGAAATTCTACCATATTTATACAAGACTTTACAATATTATAAGATTGGGTTTAAATTATAGATTTGTATAAGAATTTAAAAAAAAAAAAGCAAAAAAAAAAATATATGAATGAAATATGAATAAGAATATAATTCTATTTCACTCACTTTTTTTCCTTTTTAAATTTTTATCAAAATAATTCAAACAAAATTTAACGATATTGTGACAGTTTTTCACCAAAAATGGCTTTGAAAATATAAAATAACACTTAATTTTTAGAAACCATTATGAAATATATCAGCCTTTTCAAATTATAAAAAAATAAAAAATTTAAAAGAGAAAAATGATATATAAATTTATTTTATAGACTTGATGTGTAAGTGAGATAATTAATGATTTGAGAATATATGAGAAAAAAAGTTATGTTAGATATTCTAATACATTGTCACATGATTTTAAAAAGAATAATGATTTTTAAGTAAAAAAAAATGACACTTACTTTTCAAATTTACATTGTGACATTGAGGCCAAGTTTGGCATGACTTAAATAATACAAAAAGTCAAAAAGTTACTATCCTATTTAAGTCACATCACCTCTCTAACACATCACATCAAACCCAACCCAAACCCAACTCATATAAGCTAATAAGTCAAAAAGTGCACTTTTTTAGAACATCCCAAACCAACCCTGAATTTAAAAAGTGAGTGTAGAAAGTGAAATTATGTGGTGTTTTGAGAAATCGGTAAAAAGTTGACCTTTTAATTTTTTGACTTTTTTAGTGATTTTTTTGACAAAAAATTGGATTATTTTGAACAAAAAAACTGAATTTTTTGATTAAAAAAATTAAAAAATTAAAAAACTGACTTTTTATTATTGCTCCCAAAAGATCCCTGTATACTTATCAGTACTTTTTAAATTAGAATAATGTTATCTTAAAAAAAAAAATTAGACTTCCTTTGGTTAGGTTTGTTTTGCCTAAATAAGTAAAATAAATCAATAAAATAAAATATTATATCTAAATCATAATTATTTTACTTTTTATTTTAAAATTTTTTTAAAAACCAATCCAAACAAAATTTTTAATTCTAAACTAAAAAATTTGAACTCAAAAAAAGCCAATTAAAAAAAGTAGGCAAACGAGAACTTGCCTGTGTTTGGCAAGGGCTTTTTCAGGTTTTTTTGGCTATTTTAGTCACAAAAAATAAAATAGACTATTTTAGCCATAACAAACAAAACATCACATCCAACCTATAATCATTACATTCTTCTCTCACAAAAAAAGTCAAAAAAGCCAAAAAGTCAAAAAGCCCTTCCCAAACCAAACTTTTTAGCCCAGGCTAAAATAGGCAAAAAAGCCAAAAAGCCAACCCACTTCCCAAACGGAGGCTTAATTGCCAAACCCAAGTTGGACAAAAAAGTCCTAAAAAACGGAATTATTTTGGAGCGGAACGTCCAAACACTCCCTTAAGTAACAGATTCAAAGTCCACGCCTGCCACGCCAACCACGCTCCCGTCAAAAACTTCAGGCAATTTTAAAATTTCAGTCCCCCTCCCCACCATAACCTCCATACATCACAGACACTCCTTGTCCCATTTCACCATCACCATAAATAAATAAATAAATATACATACACATATATTACTATATCTATCTACATTCGTGTCCGTCTCTTAGAAAATCATCGAACCTGTCCTCCATTTCAATCCCTATATCACTGGTACGAAGAATTTCGAATTCTCATCAATTTGCTTTCAAATTTTGGTTAATTTGTTCAGATCTGTTTTTGAATCGTTGTTTTTTTGATAGAACAGAGTGAAAAAATGGGAAGTTTGGGGGCAATTTTGAAGCATCCGGATGATTTCTATCCATTGATGAAGTTGAAGATGGCGGCGAGGCGAGCGGAGAAGAATATTCCTCCGGAGCCTCACTGGGGCTTCTGTTACTCCATGCTTCACAAGGTTTCTCGCAGTTTCGCCCTCGTAATTCAACAGCTCGACACCGAGCTTCGCAACGCTGTAAGTTCAGATCTATATCTATATACTTCAAGTTTTCATAATTATTGTTGAATCATATATATATATATATATATACAAGGATTGCATGGTTTTGAATGTGTGGATTTTGAAATATAGAACAGTTGAGAACCAGACAAAAGTTTATCAAATTGTTATTCGCACCAAAAACATGTGTGAAATTTAAAGTCACTGTTAGGGTTTTGAAGTAATTGGAGCTGAACCAGTTGGATCTGAGAGAATTGAAGCACTTTAGAGCGATTATCATGTTTAAGGGTCTATTTGGTTTGGTTTTAGAATTATGATTTGAGCGTGGAGTTGTGTTTTGAGTATTGAGTTTTTGAATGATTTGAAAAGACAAAATTTGTTTGGTTATGAGTTTTGATATGATTTGTAATTTTTTTTATTTACTTTTTGATTGATTGATTGATGTATTGAATGTGAGAGAATGTAAGAGGAGAGATGAGAAAGGAGGGAGAAAAAGTAATTGATTAATAACAATATAAAAAAAAAAAGAGAAAAGAGAGGAGTTTTGAATGTAATTTTGAGTTGTATTTTAAAAAATGTTTGGTTAATATGTTTAATCCAAATCATGATTGAAAAACAAAGTTGAGTTTTGAAAAGTAAACCAAACGCTACCTAAGTTTTTCAAATTGTTGTTCACACCACCCTGACCTGTTTTTACATAATAGTAGTATATAACTATTAGAGTTATTTGAAGTAACTGGATCTGAAGCTGTTGGATCTGAGGGAATTGAAGCACTCTAGAGAAGTTATCATGTTTGGGGTATTTTGGGAGTAGGAAAAAGCGTGACAATCTACACCCACTTTGCTGTAGGCTTTATATTATAGTGTATATATATATATATATATATATTGAGAGAGAGAGAGTTTTTTTTTTTTTTTTTTTCATTGATCTAAGAATGTGAATTAAAGCTGGAACATAAATTCAGTCTTGTTAAGATTGACTTGCTATGATAAGATATTCTTTTATAAATGATGTTGAATGGGAAACAAGGTCGGCCTTGGATGGTTTATTGGGCATGCTTATATTTGGAACGTTCTTCAACCAAATACATGCGTGCATGTTTAGACATATATATTGGTGGACACATGCTAAGTCAAGTATGTGCCTTAAAGGGGATGAAAGTTGTTGCAAGGTGTTATAGTCCATTTTGAATGTTTTAGTTTGAGATTGGATGAGCAGTTCGTGAGTTAAACTCTTGCGTTTCAGCCTAATTGGATGCAGTGATGGAATAAGAAATTTTCCTGGTGATGAGGGCTTATAGGAACTGCGTACAGGCTTTTGTAAGGTTGTTCTGTCTTGCACTGTGGTCTTGATGATGTTGATCAATACTGGTAGTGGCATTGAAAGACCCATAACGACACTCCATTGACTTGTAAAATAAAATAATCAGCTGTAGATGATGTTGATTATTCACACACGCATGGTGTCAAATACTACAACTCCTTATAATCCAGATGCAATCATACTTGTGGCTGTGTGTGTTTGTGTGTGAATTGGCTACATTGGACATATTTTGTCAGTGATTATGTGTTTTTTTTTTGAAGAATCCGGACTCTGGAAGGAATATGTGTGAAAGTGAATGTATATTTGATTGTTAACATATACTTCTTGTAAAAAATTGGAAAGTTGTAAGTTGTAACTGTCCACGGGTTGTATTCTTTTTTATATTAGAACATTTTTTTGGCATTCTTTTTAGTTGTGAGAAATAACTAAAGGCCATGGGTTGTATTCTTTTTTATATTACTACAAATTTTTTTTAGAGCATGCCTGTAACAAGTTGTCACCAAGTGGGTATTTTAGTCCATTTCTATTTGTTTGATTAGTTTTATGGACTTGTGCTGTGTCATTGTTGCAAAATACTCCTAATTTTCCATGTATACTATTCTCCTATTTTTTCAGGTATGCATTTTTTATTTGGTTCTTCGAGCCCTCGACACCGTTGGTATGCTCATTCTTCTAAGTTTTACATTTTGTGTGTCATCATTCCCCTTATTGTGCTGATTTATGAAGTTTTCTTTGGCTTACCAATAGGTCCTACTTTTGGGACTTATTACCTATTAAATCCTATTGATAAATTTATTAAATGATAAATTTATCGGTCTCTCTTATTTTTATGAATTTATCAGTCAGGACCTGTCGGTAAATAAGTCTAGTTAATAGGACTGTTTGGTAAGTGTCCCTAATCATAATTTGTTTATATCACTTTGATATGGTCATAATATTCAACAAGATATTTTCATATACCTCATTCAGTTTGTTTTGACCTCTGTGTATATGTTAATCTTGTGCAAAATGATTTGTGGTCTATTTGGATTTCATATATGTCATATTGTTAAAACACTAAATTTGTATTTGACTTTTTCCTTCCTATTTCATGCTATGTTATTGTTGAGTGATTTGGCGTGTTTCAAGTGATCTCATGCATTTGTTTGGTATTTTTATAGAGGATGATACAAGCATAGCTACAGAGGTTAAAGTACCTATTCTGATGGCTTTTCATCGTCATATATATGACCGTGACTGGCATTTTTCCTGTGAGTTTTTTCCCCCCTGTACTCGTGCTGCCCTTTTTTTTTTTTTAATCTCTTTTGCTACTTCATTCCTATTGGTCATCTCTTTGATTCTATGCACTACAGAGCACTTTTTTCTGGCTTATTATATGTACAAGACTTAAGTTAAACAAATCCTTTTGAGTATTTCAGTTCTCCTTCCACTGATGCAAAAACAAAAATACATATACATATATATATATATATATATTTTGGGGCCGCATGATGGTGTTATTTTGGCTGGCTAGTGAACTATGAAACAAACTTTTGACCTCACTCAAGAAAATAAAGATGCATTAGCTTCTTAACAAGTGGCATGTAAAAGATGCATTGAAGGGCCAAGCTTTAATTTAGCATGCATTGGAATTTGGATAATGCACAACCCACTTGAGACCTTACATAACTTATAAAGTATTGTCTTATGCTTATTTTGACATTATTGATATTGGTGGTCGGTTTCAATATTTGCACTTTTGCAGTTTCCCCTTTGTATTTGGGGGAATAGCGAAGAGCAAAAGGCTTCTTCATATGAATTTTTAAGTGTTGACTGAGTTTCTTAAGCTGCATCACACACTGAAGCATTCTGGGAAAGTGTCGCACATATAAAATTATGTCCTATTAGTTATGTGCTGAACATATATATATATTTTTGGGTTACTTGCAATCCTAATTATTTCTTTTGTATTTAGGTGGTACAAAGGAGTACAAGGTTCTCATGGATGAGTTCCATCATGTTTCAACTGCTTTTTCGGAGCTTGGGAGAGGGTTAGCTTCTATCTAGCATTTTTTATTTGCTCTTAATGTTATAATCAACGGATTCTGTTGCAAATATGGGAATGTTCATGCAAAAAGCTTGGTTAAAAGCTAAAAGCCAACTTTTAACCATCTTCCCAAAACACCCCTATATTTCTAGGGTTCCCACCTTTTCAAACACTTTGATACTTGGCACAAGAATGTTGATGTGATGATGACATTCCTCACAGTTGACATAGGTGTGACGTAATTTTTCTTGAATATTGATCAATGGAAAAGATAAAAAGGAAACACTTTTGTTTATCATTCATTCTTTAAAGTGGCTAGTTTTCCATTCACGGATTTTTTCTATGTCAATAGGACACTACATTTCTAGAGTTCCCACCTTTTCAAACATTTGGATACTTGGCACAATAATGTTAATGTGATGATGATATTTCTCATATCACAGTTGATAGATGGTTGACATTGTAACTTGACATAAAGTGCAAGGGTTTAACTATTACAGTTGAAAAAAGAGGGACCAAAGTGGGATTTTGGGGAAATTGCAGGACGCCATGTGTAATTAACCCAATTATTATTGTAAGTAACAACAAACACTATATCAATATGGAGTGCCTATACAGTTCATGTGATTGATATGATGTTAATGAAATATATAAACAATATATGATACATTGTCCATGTGCACGAGAAAGAGAAAGAGTGCAGGTGGCTGATGAATGGGGAATCTAGTGTGTTGATATGATGGTATGTGTATAACAATTAATGTATGATATTTTGAAGTGACTGTAAAATGTGTAGCATTTTTTATTGGATCCATACTCCTCTCTCTCTTGGATGTGGATGTGGATGTGGATGTAGACAAGTAATAGTATGAGATATATGGTTTTATAATTTTATTAAAATATGAAATATGACATTTACTTATGTATTGTCATTCTTTGATACAAGCCTTATATAGGAGTTAATAAAATCTCAAGATTCTAGACTCTTTTCTGCACTATATTCTCATAATATAAATGATACATCCCACCATATTGATATTTTTTTGGTGATTTTTGAGCAATTGCAATGAGATATATCAACGGCAATATATTGGTCAATTTCTCACTGATAATTTATTTTATGGTTGTATTATATTGGTATTAAACAATTGTTGACTGTTGTCTATCTATTTGAATTTTATTTGTATGTCTATTTATAACTTGAGTTAATTATTATTTATGTATATGAACTTTTGTTTATACTCGAGTTTATTATTATTTATGTATATGAACTTTTGTTTATATTTACATTTATATTTGAACTTTGTCTCTTTCAGTTCTGCATACATAAGTTGAGATTGTGGGAACTTTTTCTTGGTTTTAACTTCAGAGGGCTTCACAGGAATAATGTTGGGCATCTGACCTGTGTGTTTGAGAGATTACTCACAACACTCTTAACTATTCTGCAGTTATCAGGAGGCAATTGAGGACATTACTATGAGAATGGGTGCAGGAATGGCAAAGTTTATATGCAAGGAGGTTTGTAATGAATATCCTGCAAGATAATGATAAGTACATTATAGTTTCTATATTATCTGGTTATCCTATCATTCAATAGGTTGCAGGAACTCAGGAACTAAAAATAAATTAGAGGTTTTCTACAAATTGTGAACGAGTACGAGTTAAATACATTCAATGTGTGTCCCTGACTAGGACTACTCATACATATCTTTCAGGTAGAAACAATTGATGACTATGATGAATATTGTCACTACGTAGCAGGACTGGTTGGGTTAGGGTTATCAAAGCTTTTCCATGCCTCTGGGTCTGAAGATTTGGCATCAGATTCTCTCTCCAATTCAATGGGTTTATTTCTTCAGGTTTTTCTTTTGACATGCATAGCGAGTATTGCTTTTCATCCTCTGTCTTCTTTCATATTTGGATGCCTGATTCTCAATTATATCTATTTCATGTAATCAAACACAGAAAACAAACATTATTCGGGACTATTTGGAGGATATAAACGAGATACCAAAGTCACGCATGTTTTGGCCTCGCCAGATTTGGAGTAAATATGTTAACAAACTTGAGGTTTGTCTCTTTCATGCAATTGATCATTAAGCTTTAGTCCTATCGAATTTTGTTACCGGTTATCTTGGTCTACTCGTGAGGCAAAGCCTCTTATGGTTTAGCCTTGCAAGTCATATTGCTAACATTTTATGTTTGGGCCCATTCCCTGTGATTGATATCCTTTGGTATTGTGTGCCTCAGGACTTAAAATGCAAGGAAAACTCAGTCAAAGCTGTGGAATGCCTTAATGACATGGTCACAAATGCTTTGATACATGTGGAGGATTGCCTGACATACATGTCAGCTTTGCGAGATCCTTCAATTTTCCGATTTTGTGCAATTCCACAGGTATATGTCTTCAAAATGACTTGGGGTTTGTATGTTGTTTGGTAGTCTGTTATGCTGTAGTTTTCATTTTAAGTGTCCATAATATGACCTCTGTTCAGCTGCTGACCAAATGTATCAGTTTTCTTTACCAATTTTGTGTAGAGAGGGAAGGAGGGAGGGAGGGAGAACTTTTTGAAGCAATTCTATGTCAATCTGCATAACATTGTTAGCCATTGCATTGCATCAAATTGATCTTCTAGTTTCAAATGTTACTACCTTGTTAATGTAGTACTTTCTTTCATTCAGCTCTTTGGTTCCCTCAGTAATATCCTTTGGACTTGCTACTTGGACAAACACTCTTTAAAACCATAGTTCTTGCTGTTTAGATCTGGAATTGCATCTTAGTTGCATTTTGAGTTGGAATTCTGAAGGCAAATCATGTCTAACTGATAATTCATGCTCCTTTCTTTTTGTGTCTATCTTTGGATTATTTGGTTTTAAATGTTACCATTGTGTTAAATGTAACCCTCCTACGCTGGGGGGTCATTTCGTTCACACTCGAACAAAAACTCTTTGAACCCATGTTTGTTCCTGTGTAGATCTGAAAATTGTGGTTTAGCTGCAATAGTAAATGGAATTTTGAAGTCAATTTCTTTGCATTCGTCAAATATATATATATAAACTATGTATATATATTACCTTTGATATGCAAGTTGATGTCAGATGGTAAACACTTCCTCACCCTCATTCTACTTCGTGCAGCTTTAGAATGATTATACATGCTCTTGAAATATGAAATTTCCTTGTTTGAACATGTTTCTCATTTCCTATGTGCTACCAGATCATGGCAATTGGAACCTTGGCTTTATGCTACAACAATATTGAAGTCTTCAGAGGTGTTGTAAAAATGAGGCGTGGTAAGATAACTCTCCTTCAGCACTATACTCCAATGTTAATGGGCTTTGTATTCTTGTTTGTTGCGCGTCTGTCGTTCTGTTTTAATTTATTTTTCATTTGATCGAAAGAAATTTGGATGATAGTACTTTAAAATCATTTTCTATTTTCCCATTTTTTAAAAATGAATAAAGTGACGAGGCTGAATCAGCCTCAAATGTAGTGCAAGACTCAAATACTGGAAGTAGATTCTTCATAAGTGGGTTTTATCTGCAGTGCTAGTTGCCTCATAAGATGTCCTGTGCCACATGACAAGTATTTGCCTGATTGACTTTTATTTTTAGTAGTGCTAAAATTCTAGATGGGGCAAGTCATGCTTTACCGTCTTTTATGTCTCATCTTTTGTGATACTTTGAGCATGAAGCCCCCCCCCTCCTCGCCTACAGATACGCAAATGCTAGGTTTATTTCTTGCTTAATTTATCTATTTGTCTTCTTTTCTAGGTCTTACTGCTAAAGTTATTGACCGGACAAAAACAATGTCGGATGTCTATGGTGCTTTCTTCGATTTTTCTTGTATGCTGAAGTCAAAGGTATATTACTTCATAACTTTCTACAATAAGCTAGATTTATTGGCTGGGAGAAAAAGTGTCTTCTGCTTTGATAGCATACATACAATTTATTTCATATTTCATAAGCTATTCTGTTGCAATTACACTGTATCATTTAAAACCCCTTGCTAGATATTGAATACAATGCAACCTTCGCAATTAAATGCTCTAAATAGATCCTTAAGACTCAAATGCAACCTTGAGCATCCAAGCTGTTACAAAAAGTGTCACGTGCACACATTTTGAAAACAGTTGAACCTTTTTTTCAGTAGTCATGATACAATGTAGTGAATTCTTTTATTCTTAGAGAAGACTTTCTACAAGGACAACAATAAATCTTCTAATATACATGCCTCTATGTGTCTTGCTGAAACTAATGAAGTACCTTTTGAGAACTTCTAATGAAAGTACCTGTTGCTGTAATGATCATTACTTTTTGGTGTTAAGTGAACTGCTTTTTTAATTATTTCATTCACGACTTGGTGAACTATTTATAGTTTTTCATGTTTAAACTGACCTTTGAGCATTCATCTCCCACTGCTCTCTGCATTTAGATTTCCCTTTATAATTGTTCATAGGTTTCTCATTTTCTACTCTCTGAAAACTTGCTGTGCATTTATAGGTCAACAAGAGTGACCCAAATGCTACGAAAGCATTAAGCAGGCTTGAGGCAATTCAGAAAATTTGCAGGGAATCCGGAACCCTAAACAAAAGGTTTGTTGAAGTTTCTAGTTGTCCACCATGAACATTGTTTGTCAATGTCTGACCATTTTTTTTTTGTGGTTCTGCCAGGAAATCTTACGTAATCAAGAGCGAACCAAGATACAACTCAACTCTGGTGAGCTTTTGTGCTGATTTTCCTTCCATTTGTGTTTTAATTGAAGGCAATTTACTAACTTCATTATGATCTCAATGCAGGTCTTTGTATTATTCATTATACTCGCAATCCTGTTTGCATATCTATCTGCAAACAGACCAAGTAATATGTGTAAGTTCTTCTATTCTTTTCTTCTTTTTGTTTTTTGCAACTTTTTTTTTTGTTTGGTAGTAGAAATTAATACATGCTACTGGCAAAAAATGATTCCCTGTTAAACGATCTTACCTCTCATTTACCCCATTCATGTGTATGAGAAAATCAACTCTCTCGTAAGTTTTTTGTGCGTAGAACATAAAAACTGGCACCATTTTGAAATTTTGTGCCCCATTTCACACTGATTAGTAGTTATCCGTTTAACTTTCCAACTTGGATAAGTTTTCCTTTAAACATTGCCCTGCAAAAAAAAAACAGGATTTTTCATTGCTGGAATCCTAATATTTAATGCTCAAATGAAAACTTCCCCATGACTTGCCTTTCTTGTTTGAACATTTGAAATCATGATTTTTCTACAAAATTTTAATCTCAAATGAACACATTAAGGAAATATATTTCTTTTTTCTTCATTATTATTATTATTATTTTTTGTGGGGGGAAATAGAATTTTCAAAATGCTTGACTATTGAACAGAGGCATTGTTTTTTGCAGGATTGGCTTTCCTGAGGATTCAGTGGGATATTCATGACTAGGTGGTGAAGCACATGCCTAGTTTCATGTAACTGCAGATGTTTCTTATGCCTAGTATAAATACTAGATGATATTTATAATGTGTTGTATGATTGTTAAAAGTATGACCACTCTCTATTAGATGTCAATATATATGGTTTCTGTAGCTTCCAAGGCCATATACAAACTCCTGATTGGCAGTTCAACTCAAATAACAAAATAAACACAGCCACCTATTATAATTGTTTGAAATGTTGTGATGCAATATAATAGGGGTATTATTTTGTGTTATTCTTTCTATTTTTACACTGAAATGTTGTGATGCAATATAATAGGTATTATTTTGTGTTATTCTTTCTATTTTTACACTGTTATTAAATGAAATTCTAAGTTAATGTGTATATCGTTGTTGATTTTTGTTTTGTGATTATTTTCTTTCTTAAGATGTATGCTTTTGGAGTTTCCAAATCAGATATGTAAGCCTCCATGCGGAACATATTTGTGTCAGTCCATCTGAATACGAATGAAGATTTGAGCCTCCATGCGGAACATATTTGTGTCAGTCCATCTGAATACGAATGAAGATTTGAACACTGCCTTGCTCAATTTTAAAATAAATAAATAATAACAATAATATTGGGCCTTCAGGCCTTTAAGATGAACCTATGGGCTGGGCTTTGAAAAAGCCATCATGATGGGCTTATCGGCTGGTTCACCTTACTATTGGGCCCAAGCCCAATCTATATTCCATTAATTATATTTAATTTAATGTATAAGCCCAATAAGGGTCTTTGGAATTGGCCTTTGGAATGGGCCTTCGGCCATGCTTGAAAAAGGCTATCATGATGGGCTGGCTCACATGCCTTAACCTTCAGCCCAAGCCCAATCTATATATTTCAGAACCAGGTCAGCCCATCCTTAATCTTGGGCAGCTTTTGAGATGGGCTAACGGGCTGGCTCATATGCCTTACCCTTCCTAAGCCCAATCCATATATTTTAAGCCAACCCATCCTCAAGCTTGGACCAAGCTAAAGCCCAATGGGTCAATACTGGCCCAGGCTGGCACATGGGCTTTTTATAAGGCTTCGGAGGATGCATATGAAGCCGGTTGAGGAATTATAGAGTATAAATTTCTTTACTTTATATGCTACAAGAAACAAGGTAATGAGCCATTTGGTGACACGCTAGTCAACAAATGACAAATCACTATCAACAAACTATACACAACAAATTTGAAGGAAAATAAAAATAGTTACCATCTGTTAATGAATATGAATAAATCAAGCCAGAAACCTGATCAAATGTTTCAATCAAAAAAAATATGCATACATATTGAATTGAGAGGCTATTGAAATCTTAGTATATATATGTGTGTGTATATATATAAAGCACACAGGTGTTCTATGTCCAGATCCAAAAATTATACACACAAACAACACCATTGAAACTCAATCCCGTAAATTAATTAGAACACTTCAACAATCACCTTGCTTGCAAGAACACGTTCACGTTTTTCAATGTACCCAAATGGAAACCAACCTGCTTTGCCTTTGCATTCTCCTTCTGCCCAGCCACCGTTTGCCACCTGTAAAAAAACCCGCAGTATATTCAGTGGAAAGATAGCTAAGAGTTATGAAACAATATCAGCAGCAATTTTAAAGTATGGAAATCCAGCAGCAATATCGTATATTCTTGAACAATAGAGAGAAAAAATTAAAGAAAATAAGAGTACTGCATAAAAATTGAACACTAACAAAATTTGGTTAAACAGTGGAACAAAGTAAAGCTGAAGAACATACTACATCCACACAGACGAGTACTACACTTTTCTCACAGCCTAGAATGGCAGTTCCAATAATGATCAGAGGTATCCACAATAGGAGATAGCCGGGAATATAAAATTTGAAAAAGAAAAGAAAAGAAAATAACTTAGACAATAGGAATTTCAGTATTTGAATCTTCACAAAACTTTGTGAGAACTTGATCAGAAAATAGCCAGACCAACGGTCCCAGTTGCATAATCTGGTTCACACAGAAATGATTCAGATTTATATCGCTAACAAGTAAATTTTTTTTGATAAATAATCAAACTTTATTGAGAAAGCATCAAGATGATACAAAGAATACAAACAAGTAAATGAACTGGTGATTGTAGACTTCTATAGCTTGATGTTTCTTCAGCAATACCATAAATACATAATTTATTTGTTTTTTATAGGGTAACTAACAAAGACAACTATACATTCTTCACCCCAAAAAACAAAAGGAAAAAAAAAGAAAGAAAAAAGAAAAAGAGAAGGAATTCCTAATAGGTGCTGGAAAATGCAGATGCTCAATTTCTAAAAGGCAGTGTATAATTTATCTACAAGCAGCTGCACCAGCTATGCAGACAATCAATAGATTTAACAGAGAAATATTTATTACCATGTGAGATGTTTCATTTTTCATTGGAATGGTCTATCCTGATAGAAACTAAGTTGATTGTTGAATCAACATTTCAAGTATTATTATACTTGTTGGATAGGCAGTGAGGCTCGAACACATGATGTATTACAATAATACTCTAATACCATGTTGAATTGTTAGAAGATAGGCAATTTTATTATTTCTATCCTCAGCAAAGATAATGCTTAGCTAAATTGTACCCTCATTGAAAGTTAAATTGGACAAAATATCCTAGAACTCTACATAGAAGAATGTATCATAGGGTTTAAGTTATAGACATAGCAAGCTACAAACCTTTCGGACAACAACATAATCACCAACTGACAAATTAAGCTCCACATCAGATTCAGCCTGATATGAGTACATAACCTGCAACAAGATGGAAGATATGCAATGTACAATTAACAGAGACGTTTAAGCAGAAATTATAAAGTTGTGTTGTGGCACTTTCTCAGAAAATTATTAAGTCAAAAGCACATGTAGTTGTCTTCTTACCTCTCCCAGAAAGTAACCCATGCTGTCAGTTGATCCATTATGCGTTGGAGAAGCAAACACACCATTACCTTCCTCGTATGGTGGTGGTGGGGGCATACTGTCCACATGTGGACTAGGACTTGCTTCAATTCTTTGCCGCTCTGATGTCATCTGTCAGATAAAGTATTTAAAGCACAAAACATTTAGTTCTAACTAATAAAATTTATAAACTAGAAGCAGCGCAGAAGTAAAGGAAGAAAAAGGGAAGGGGGCTGGCGGGATTGAAAGGTCACGGCGATACAATTGCATACCTCCACTTCAAGCTGATCAAGTATCTGAAGAACTCTCTGATGGTAAGTGCGTTCCGATTCGACCTTCAAAACAGGAGTGGAAAAAATCCGCCAAAGGACAATTTTCAAATCTGATTCCCATACATACATAGGCAGATACATACATAAAACTTTGTTAAAACAAGATGGTTGATTGCATTACCATAGCTACGAGTCGCTGGAGAGTCAACCTCTGTTGTTGAGCTTCAACTGCAGATAATGCTGCTGCAGCTTCTTTCCCCAATATTGTCATGTTTGATTTCAGGTCCTGTAGTTTTGTCTCTGCTGCTTCAAGTTTGAAAACAATGTCAGGATTTCCTGTTCCTTCTCTCACTTTTGCTTGACGTTTGGAAACTTCAATAGCCTATCTAGGTTCAGAAGAAATAAAATTACAAGTTTGCAAGAGGAAACTTAGCAGTTCAAGTGAGCTTCGTTAAATGTATCGTTTTGCATTATAAGGCAATCAACATATAACAAATTCCAATATGATCCAGATAACAAAAATGCAATAAGAACCTGTTTTCTGGCAAAAGACCAAGATTTAGAGGAAAGAAAAAGAGAGAGAAAGCAATAGGCAATGAAGAAAACATCACCACAAGTAATTGTTGGAAGAACAGTTGTGAACATAGTAAAATTATCGTAAATGAAATACCTGAGCTTCAGCCTCTTGACGCATCCTATCGTAACGTTGAGCAAGATGTCGAGCATCTTCAAGTGGAGCTCCCACTACCATTGCTCTTAATGGCTCTGCAACCTGGTCAAAGAGGCATCAGAAACATGTCAAGCACTTAACAGAAAGGCTTTCCAGCCAGAAGGATAGAAAGGAAATACAGTAATAAAAAGGCCAGTCACAGTCATAAAAATTTAATAGATTTGCTAGAGCTACTTCATACAAACTAGTAGAAAATAATGCCAAAACAATTAACAAATTTAGGTCTTTTAGAGCTCATCTTCAAATCTCAACCATGCAAGAGAATAGAAGAATCAATCACAGAATGTTATGTTGGTTTTGGCAACATGATGCGAAAGAGCAAACTCACTAGGTATGATAAACGAATGTAGCCTACATTTTAAATGCAACAATGCATGTATTCTCTTTATCTCGTCCCATTTCTAGTGGGAAGACTATATATATATAATATTTCAATTTTACAATTTTCAGCCAAAGCAATACTGTAAAAAATTGCCAGTAGCCACAACCCACAGGTGACCAATATTATAAGGAAATGGGGCATAGTCAATGAGAAAAATTGTTGCTCTAACCATTGCAAGAAAAGAATAATGAAATGTGCGAAGTCTACCAAAGATCCAAACTATATTATAATTGTTCAATCAAGCTTAGCTGCACAGTGCTATTTGGAATGGGGGTATACCATCTGTGCCATGAGTCCCAAAAAAATAGACACAAAAACTATGACAACAAAAAAATTAAATCAAAATATCAAGTTGTGAGAAATACTTCTGCGCTATCCTGTTCATGGCATCTAACTTCTACAATTCCTTACATTTTAGTGAAAGAGAAAAAGAACAAACAAACCTGTGTACCAAGGGCTTTTAATAGATTTGCACGTTCCTTCTCCATTTGAGCACGAGCTCGTCCAAAACTTAATGCAGCTTTTGATAATGTATTACCACTGGTGCATGTATTCTCAACACCATATTTCCTGCAATCTTCTGACAACTTAGTTCCTGTGAACAAGTTGTACACCACAAGAATATGAACATCAAAGTCCTTGACATTGCATGAAACCAGAATACCAATAAATGACATCAAAGCTTCAACACACCTATCTCAACTTGTTTGGACCCAGTAACAATATAACTTTCTACTCCCCGAACAGTATCTCTTTGAAAATGCTGAAAAGCAAGAACATCTTGAGGATTAAAACAAAGGATTTCAGAGGTAAGAGGGATCCCAACCCAGAGAGAGAGAGAGAGAGAGAGATGAAGAAACCTTGGCAGTCCTTGTTGAGATGTAAAGTTTTTCAAGTTTTTGATGCTGATGGAGCTCTGCTTCATCAGTAACAACATTATCTGAACCTCCATATCCTCCAGCCCCAAACTGCTTGAAGACAGCCTGAAATTAAGCTCGATGACATTAACATGCATGTTTTGCATGGGTTGGTTGGAAGATGGGTGAGTAAAATTCCAAACCTCAACCACAAATTCTTATCATTATTGGTTGTAGAATTCATCACACTTTCAAGGTAGCCGATAACAGCCTATTGCTTAAGATTGCCATGGAGGATCTAAATGGATGTTCTCTATTTTGGAATTCATCTTCTATCTAACAGTAGCTTGTATGCGATGCCATTGGAATGTAAAACCAAATTTCATGATATGACTTCACAAATATAAAAACAAGTAAACCCTACAAATATAGCATCCATCACATTAGCATGAAATGTCAACAGCATTATGCAGCGTAAAACACCTTTGACTACAGATCATTTTGATAAAATATGTCCCTTTTTGTGTGTGTGTGTGTGTGTGTGTGTGTGTGTGTGCATGCACGCATGTTTTGCATGGGTTGGTTGGAAGATGGGTGAGTAAAATTCCAAACCTCAACCACAAATTCTTATCATTATTGGTTGTAGAATTCATCACACTTTCAAGGTAGCCGATAACAGCCTATTGCTTAAGATTGCCATGGAGGATCTAAATGGATGTTCTCTATTTTGGAATTCATCTTCTATCTAACAGTAGCTTGTATGCGATGCCATTGGAATGTTAAACCAAATTTCATGATATGACTTCACAAATATAAAAACAGGTAAACCCTACAAATATAGCATCCATCACATTAGCATGAAATGTCAACAGCATTACGCAGCGTAAAAAACCTTTGACTACAGATCATTTTGATAAAATATGTCCCTTTTTGTGTGTGTGTGTGTGTGTGTGTGTGTGCATGCACAGAGGGAGTACAATGATTAAACACATGATTTGGAATTGAGCAGCATCAAAGTGGAATTTATGGCAGTAGTCAACTGGCATGGCAATCATAAAATTGTTAAATAAAATTAATTTGAATGAAGCCCAAGGCAGACTTCTAAATGTAAATACAAGTATTACAATTTTCTTTTTACCGTAAGGAATAAAAACTTGTTTTTAACAAAGTTTCCACATTGGCCAACTATCAGTGAAGAAGCTAACAAGCCCAGGAGGGTAATATAGAGTTGGCATGATCATCAGAGTCTAAAATGTGCACAGCCTTAGATATACCTATGGCCATGAACGACATCGGTCTAAGATCATATTTACGGTGCATTGGACATTCACCCTAAATTTGAATGGGAAAATTGTACTGTCTAGCATTTGAATTGAGAATTCATTACCTAAAATAGTGTAATTGAGAAAATTTGGAAATTTCATCATAGTTCAAGGCATTTTCTACGTTTGGGAAGTGGCTAAATTAGCCAAAAAGCCACTTAAAGTCCACATTTATCCCCCCGGTCTATTTTATATATAAAGAATTGTAATATAACCACTGAGGTTTAGAAAAACAGCTGAACCTTCAGAGGTTTCGAGTGGTAAAATACCAATTCTCCCTCTCTCTCTAAATCATAGATAGTCAAAACATGCAATTTTTTATACGTATGGTTTCAACAACTAGACTCTGTGCAATTACTAGGACTTCCAGTTGTTCTTTAGTTACTATTTGAAAAAGCTATCTCTAATTTATGGGATCAATTGTTTTGTGACATAATAAATTAACAATGATACATGGACCTCCACCAAGGGAGATTTGTATATCTGTCTGTCTCTCTCTCGTTTACAAGGGGAGAGACAATAAATATTGGAAGGTGGCGAGGGTGATTCTTGGTATGTTGTTTCATAACAAATTCAAAACTAACCAAAGGAAAACAAACCCCACAAATTCAAAACTCTACAACATTTAGCAGATTATTCCAGCTAAATGACCAGATTTAGGGGAGGCATCATAAAAACTCAAAACAATTTGAGGTTTAATTATCATTATTGTCTAAGATTAAACCTTGATCTCTGTAAAGCCAAGGGATGGACCCCATGTATTTCCATTGACTAACTGGGGCGAGGACTAATCATTTTTTAATTCTCACCTTTCTATTATTGGCACTGCACAATACCAAAAAACAACAATATCATATTAATGCTGAAACAAGTTTTTCAATCTACTTGACTATTGCCTTAAAATATTTTTGTTACATGATATGCCCACTACCAACACAAGAAATCCGCATTGGACCAATATAACAAATTCATATTTCATCATCCTTAGCTTCCTGTTAGAAGCCAGGGAAGCAGAGGTATGAGCCTATAGAACATATCATGTTCAAGCAAGGACACATATTTCATCATCCAATATTATTTGACATTGTTGAAATCAAAATCGTATAGAATGGTCAGCAGTTCGAAATTCAACTTCATTATATATATATCAAATTCTTAATGTTCCAGTTCTTGGGAAAGAATATGCGATCTGACCTACTCAAACCAAAAAGAAATTGAGACATACACATAAATCATCCAAAACCACGACTATCAACATGAGTTCTTGTATAGAATAGTCTGCAGTTTCAAATTCAATTTCATTATATAGATCAAATTCTTAATGTTACAGTGTTTAGGGAAGAATATGCAATCTGTCCTAATCAAAACCAAAAAGAAATTCGAGACATACACAAAAATCATCCAAATAGTACATCCAAAATAACGACTATCAACATGATTTCTTGTATAGAATGGTCTGGCAGTTCGAAATTCAACTTCATTATATAGATCAAATTCTTAATGTTGCAGTGCATAGGGCAGAATATGCAATCTGATCTAATCAAACCAAAAAGAAATCGAGACATACAGATAAATCATCCAAATCAGTACATCCAAAAATCACGAATATCATCAAAATTACACAAAACTAAGCAGCACAGAACAGCATGAATTGACTAAAAATTAGGAAACTGAACAAATTCAAGGACCGATAAACAATACAACTAATAATACTTGTCAATAGATCTAGGCAAATGAACTTTGATCTGAGAAATCATGAGCGGGATCAAATTAGGGTTTAACAGAGTGTATATATATATGAGAGAGAGAGAGAGAGAGAGAGAGAGAGAGGACCTGCTGTTGCCTGGCGACCTGTTCCCTGAACTTCGAGGCTTGTTTCCGGAGTGTTTCCATTCACAAACAGAAGGAGAGAGAGAGAGATTTTGAGGAACGAACTTTGGGAGGATTGTCGGAGATTTGTCCCGCCGCGTAGAGACTATCTATCTGTACATAAATGCTTAGTTGGCGACTTTCAAAACGGGTTTGGTTGCCTTGTCATTTTCAATTCAAATTTTACTCAATACAAATAATTGAGCTGCTATTCACATAATGAAAAATGATTCGTCAATCAAATTTGGACTCGTCCAAATCATTCAAAGTATTTAAGTTGGACGATTGTCTATCTTTATCAATTGTGATTGTCATGTTTGTTAGTCGGTATTCGCCCGAACGATTGTTATTATTTTGGATGATGGGCTAAACAACCCTCCGAATAATCGATTGAACAAATTCAATATATGTAGCATTATTGACAATAATACAGAGGAATGTCCTATAAATAAAAATAACTTCTATAATTTTTTTTCAAAAAAACTGATATAAGTATCTATGATATTAGTTTGTTGAGTCCAATTTCTCATGATAAAAATTTATTATTGCATTTTAAATATAGTGCACTGATCAAAATTAGGTCAAAAAAATAAAAAGTTATTCAAAAAGTTAAAAAATTATTCCTATTCACCAAAAGTCAAAAATTATAGTTGCACAACTCTCAATCCTAATTTTTTCCTACACACTAATTTATACAATTTTTTAACACACATTTTTTCATAAAAAGTGAAAAAGTTAACCCAAACATTCATATTTTTTTCTCAATTTTTTAGTCTAAAAAGACAAAAAATACATTTATTTAAGACACCCCAAACAACCTCTTAATTTTTAAATTTAAATTTTACCTTAACTTCAATTATTATCAAGGATAAAATTACATATAAAAAATAAAAAACTTTTTGCATTCACTTGCCACAATCTTTCTATTTTCACTAATCAGCGCTTTTTATGCCTCAATCTTCTCCAACTACTCACCCTGCCCTGCTACTCCCTCAACCCCCTTGTCCCCATGGAAGTCAGGGAAGGAGTTGCATGAGAATGAGGTAGGACAGACAACATGGTATCAAGGAAGAGAGAAGATAAAGGGGGTGGGGAGAGGGCATCGATGATAGATGGAATCAGGGGAGGGCAACTAGGGGCTATAGAGAGGAAGGCGTTGTGGTTGAGTCGAGATCCTTTCCAACTTGGCTCCTTATTTGGTGGGTTTTAGCTCAATTTTGATTATTCAAACCGTTTATATTTTAGAATTTATCGAGTATATTATACTTGTAAAAAATTAAGTTGATCGAATATCGAAAACTACGTGTTTGGATCATCGAACTAAAAATTGTTTATTAAAAAACAGACCTGACAAAATACTGAGTGACTACAATATCCGCTCGAGCGCCAATGGTCCCGCTCGAGCGGGAAGAACAAAAAATACAGGAAAATTACAACTTGTTCAACCCAAAGTTTTGTACCCGGATTTGACAAACAAGGGACCTAACAAAACGTAATTTATTTAAGTATTTATAGTTGTCCAATAAATTTAATTTTTTTATATAAATAATATTTATTAAGATTCCAAATTGATACTTATAAAAAATATATACATAAATAGATATAAAAGGATAATATAAAAGGATATGAAGTAGAGATTGTCCTGATTTGAGATTTCCCTACGAAAAATTTAGAAGACATATGACAAGTAGTGTGTTCCTCAGGTCCAACAAAAATAAAAGTTGCATTTTGTAATTTGTTAAAGAGTTAAAAATTGGCTTTTTTTTTACCACAAGATCATTTGGAAAGGTCCCTAAAAGTTACCTGTAAAATTACAATTATGCCCTCCATGTTTACATGTGTGGGTTAGGGTAAAATTCTTTGAGATGAATATTTTAGCCATGTGATGTAATAGTATAAATAAATATTAATAAAAAAGTAAAAAAATAACTTTTTACTAATTTCTCGAATGACTTACTAAAAAAAAATTAAAAAATTAATTTTCCACACAAGAGCACAACTCAGCAATCATGTATGTTTAGCTTCTGCGTTTGTTAAGAAAAATTGCACAGTTTGGGTGCAATTTTCATACACTGTTGTTCGACCCGTGAGGTGCATCACGGGTCCCATTTTGATAATCTGAATCATTCAATGTGTAGAACTCGTCGACTACTATATGTCTGTAAAAATCACATTGATTGGATATCGATAACTACATGATCAAATCAGTTTTGTATAAAATAATGGATGGCGTTATAATTAACGATTGAAAAAAAATTAATCTGATCAGATAGCTATCGATATCCGACCAATGTGATTTTTTTATAGACATATAGTACTCAACAGGTTCTACACATTCAACGGTTCAGATTATCAAAATGAAACTCGTGATGGTCCCTACGGGCTAAACAAAACTGTCCAGTGCAATGTCCGAAAAGTAGCCAATAATTTCTTACCATCAATTCGGTTGTGCAGATTGTATGGCTGTATAACACATATCTCTAATCTTCGCCTACACACTTTTTTATACAATTTTTTAACACACATTTTTCCATAAAAAGTGAAAAAGTTAACCCAAATATTCATATTTTTTTCTTCAATTTTTTAGTCTAAAAAGACAAAAAATGCACTATTTAGAACACTCCAATCAACTCCTTAATTTTTAAATTTAAATTTTACCTTAACTTCAATTATTATCAAGGATAAAATTACATATAAAATATAAAAAACTTTTTGCATCCACTTGCCACCATCTTTCTATTTTCACTAATCAGCGCTTTTTATGCCTCAATCTTCTCCAACTACTCACCCTGCCCTGCTACTCCCTCAACCCCCTTGTCCCCATGGAAGTCAGGGAAGGAGTTGCATGAGAATGAGGTAGGACAGACAACATGGTATCAAGGAAGAGAGAAGATAAAGAGGGTGGGGAGAGGGCATCGATGATAGATGGAATGAGGGGAGGGCAACTAGGAGCTATAGAGAGGAAGGCGTTGTGGTTGAGTCGAGATCCTTTCCAACTTGGCTCCTTATTTGGTGGGTTATTAGGTTTACTTTTTGGCTCAATTTTGATTATTCGAATCGTTTATATTTTAGAATTTATCGAATATAATATACTTGTAAAAAATTAAGTTGATCGAATATCGGAAATTACGTATTTGGATCATCGAACTAAAAATTATTTATTAAAAAAATTAATAAAACAATTTTATTTTTTAATAAAACGGTTTTTAGTTCGATGATTCGAACACGTAGTTTTTTATATTCGATCGATTTGATTTTTTACAAGTATGATATATTCGACAAATTCTAAAATATGAACAGTTTGAATCATCGAAATTGAATCTAAAAATAAGCCTAATAACCCACCAAATAAGGAGCCAAGTAAATGAGAAGATCTGAACTCGTTGTGGTTGGGTTGTTGCAGGAAAATATTTTAGAAAGTGAAAGATGAATATACTAGAAAGTTCAAGTTGCTTAAATTTGTGAAATGTGACTACCCAAAACGTTAGCATAGAACAAAAGTGTGTGCAATTACCAACTCCTATTCAATTATTATTAAAAAAAAATAGTGAAATGTGTTATTTATTAAATAATATAAAATATTAAAGAATTAATAGTTACACTTTTATAATTAATCACTCATTCTATTTTCATAAGTTGAATACAAATATATGTATGATGGGCATAGCCTAAATAAGTGATTCAATAGGCCGTCCAAATAATTCCTAACCCAACTTAGACCTTGGGACTAGACAAAAAGAAGAGACAAGCCGCCCTCTTTTCTTCTGTGATTTCTGTGACATGACGACGCTGCCATAGTCGACTACAGATAGGCATAAACTTACGACTGGTAGGACAGCGTGAAAAGACAAAGACGAGGGAGTAATCATGGGTGGGGCACAGTAAGCCAAGAGGCCAATAAAAATATGAAAAATATCAATATATACATACTCTCTCTAACTACTTCTGGGCTTCTTCATTTTTCTAATCTAACTTAACCATCAGAGGGTTCTTAGGAAGGAACCCCACCCCCTGGTCCTTCCTATTGGACTTAATGTAGGTGCTACTAGGAAGACGAGGTTTGGCCAACCCGTGGAGTATTTGGATCCTATCCGACCCATCTTTCGTTTGACAAAACCACATCATCAGTTGGCGCTGTCTGTGGAAAACTTTTCGATTGACAGTTGTATTTATTGTCGTCGGAAATGGTTTCCTTATCACCCATCTTCAGTGTCGGAGTGAATGGTTACGACACGATCCATGGCTTCATAGCACACCGCCGGAAATCCCCAAACTAAGCCCTCCAATCCAAACAACCCACCTCAATACTTCACCGAACTTACCAATAGCATTAATCACTTGGCTGAACAAAACCAAGCCTTAATCCACACCTTACTTCAACGTGAGCTAATAGCTCCTCCATCCTTACCACCACAAGGCATTCCTCAAAACCAAGACCAAGTCCAAGACAACCATCCTTAGCGACAACAAGGACCACACCTTCTACCACTCGGCCCACGAGAACTCCCGCCAAATCCGAATAGATTACCTATCCCTCCTCAAGATTTGTAACTCAACCAAAATGACCCCCAACCCTTCTAAAACCACCATCAACAACAACAAAACACTACCACCCATGAAAGAGAAGTTAGCAGTGTCCAACCCCCACATGCTAGAGGAGACAATATCCCTGTTTGGAATAAGGAATTACGGGCTATCAAACTCTAACTACAAAGGGTCTTGGATTCAAAATAAGACCTCTTTGGCCGTTGATAATCTTGTCCAAACCACCAACTCTCCCTTTACTGCTTCCATCAAAGATATGCCTTTACCCTCAAAGTTTAAAATGTCCTTCATAGATACATTTGATAGGACGACCAACCTAGTTGACCATCTCAAAGCCTACAAAACACTCATGATCTTCCATGCCTTCCCAGACGAGATCATGTGTCGCGCTTTCCCTGTTACACTCAAGGGGTCAGCATGACTATGGTTTAGTCAACTTAAGCCTGGCTCAGTCACCTCTTTTGATGAGCTGAGCAAACACTTTTTGGGCCACTTCATTGGTGCTTAACGCCAATGGTGCCCAGCAACTCAATTGCCAATATTAGACAGACTGAGGGTGAGTTATTGCGTAGCTATGTGACTCGCTTCAATACTGAGGCCTTGCAAGTTGAAGAGAATGATGACAAGGTCATCTTAACGACATTTATGGTCGGTCTACGCTCCTTAGACTTCCTATTCTCTCTCTCTCTCTCTCTCTCTCTCTCTCTCTCTCTCTCTAAAAATCCTTCGAGCTCCATGATAACCCTCTT